AGAGGTGCAGGGTCCCAGCAGGGTTCAGTTAGAAAGTCTCTGTGTGCAGAAATCTGGGGACTGTAGAGTATGGTCTGCCTTTAAATGTTGGCTTAGACTTGTTGCATAACTTGGAAAATGTATTTATCTTTTTGCACTTCACTTTGTTCATCTCAAAAAGAAAAATACATTAATCTCTTTGAGCTTCAGTTTCTTCATCTCAAAAAGTTAAATGAAGAATAACTTATCTTTATTGATTTCTTTGAAGTGTGTGGGGGGGGAGAAGCTAAATAGGTGTAGGAAGTGGTGGCTGCTGTTGCCATTGTGATCCTCACAGCAAGAGGGAACAAGGGTGAACATCACACAAGGGAATAAAAAGAGAAGGACGCAGAGGAAAATAGCTAAGACCCTAACATCTCTAATTCCTAAGGCATTTAGCAGGTTGCCTGTCCCCAGCTCTCATTAAACCTCTCACACTTTTCTGGGCACTCACCCTTGATGGCCCCAGCTCCTGGGAGACTCAGCAGGAAAGCCAGGGAGAGGGCCCTCAGGAGCACAGCTCTGGTCTGGAACATTCTCTCTTCAGGCACACCTTGTGGGGTCCACAACCAACGACAGTGAGCACAGGAAGAGCGATGAGAGACTGAGGCAGAAGGGGACAGACAAGAGCTCTGAAACTGTGGACTGAAATTGTGAGAAGGGGTGGAGAGGGATGAGCACGGCTGGGCTTAGCCAATCAGAGACCTGGTGGAACTGACTCTCCCTGTTGCCAGGTAAAGAGAGACTGCAAGGGGCTCAGGAGGAGGTGGAGGACTTCCAGGAGCCAGCAGAATTTCCAGGGCCAAGGGAGAGCCAATTCAGAGTTGATTGTCAGAGTGAGGCTTGAAAAGATAAGTTGTACATTCTTCTGTAGCAAATATTTTATATTAAGTTCTGTTATATGATGGAATTAGTCTTCCTGCATTCTCCCAGAGATCCAGATTATTTTTGATATTTTTCCCACTAGTTTTTTTTTTTCCTGAATGATTTTTAAAGTTAGTTCTGCTAGATTTAGAAATAAATGCACTCTCTAATAAAAATAATCTTCCTTTCAGGCCCACCTGTCTGAGATGTGGTTCTTTAACTTTTTATGTAGAAGTTTTATAGTTTCTATTTAGAGGTTTAAATTAACTTGAATAAAGCTGATCTTTAAGTATTTTCTATGCCTGGTTACCTTTGTTAATGGAATTTCTACATAATCCTTGTATCCAGGTTTCTAACTATGTGAGTTCTCCTGTGTGAAAGCTGTCTAAAATAATTTTTTCTCCTTTGGATTACTATTCATTTTATTCCATTTTCACATAGGAATACCCAACACAGCATTGTAACTAGTAACAATGGCTCCCATGTTTTCAATTTACTTTTTAAGAGAAATTTCTTTAATGTTTTCCTGTTACATGTAATGGTAATGTTGTTGTTTCACCTTTTTTTTTTTTTTTTTTTTACCATATTTAAGAAACTGCTCTTGTAGTCTTATTTTAAAGATTTTAATTTTGAAGTATTTCTCTAGTATTCACAGGTAAGATTATAAAGCATATAATATTTAATGTAATAATGAAGCATATCAATATTTTTCTTATTTTATGGTATCCTGATCATGTACAAATAATAAATAGGTATTAACAAATTATTAAGGAGAGAGACCATTTTTAGAGCTTTACAAGTATTATCTCATTTAATCCTCACATCAAACCTGTATTACTAATGTCCATTGAAACACCGAGGAGCTATTTATCTAATCATCTGTAGCAGATAAATGACAAAGAGAAGATGAATCCAGGCACTTTTACTGAAGAACCTGAGCTTTAATTCCACAATTCTATGCTGACTCCTCATTCTTATGTAATTATTTTCTTCTAGTGCATTTTATATGCTAGCATTTCATTTACATTTTGTTTATTATTAATTATTGTTATAGATCATATATTAAATATTATATATATTTACATATTATTTATTTAACATTTCATTTAATTTTAATATCTATTTAAAGAAATTGTTCCAGTTTGACATTCTTTATCAGAATTTGTGGTCCAATAGGATCACATTTATAAGTTTATAAAGTAGACAGTGATGTTCTTTAAAGTTTGTAAAAATATTCACAGTAATAACATGATCAAATGTTTTGGAGGAGGCAGTGTTTCTGATAATTTAAAAAAAAAATTTTCTTCCTCATTTACTGGTCCATTTAGATTCCCCATGGACTTTACTATCATTCACATCTGGCACAGGTGACAGAGTGGGTTTCCCTTCAGTGGGATGGACTGGCTGAGAAATAAAAGCTAAGAAAAATATTACAGCAAAAGAACCACAGTACACATAACATATTTTCAGAGCAGGCAGAGACAGGCAAAGCTGACCAGAAGAGTCCAGCTTCTAACAAAGAAAGAAACCTGTGTTTGCTTTATTTATATCCGAAGACATCAAAGAAATTCTATGGAAAGTTCTTTGCCAAAACAGGTTAAAGGTGCGGGCAGGTAGGCTGCTCAGTTCCTAGTGGGTTACGCCCATCGCAGGTGCTGCAGGGACCTTTCTAGCAGAGCAGAGGGGGAGTTCACGTGCACCAGGTGGTCTAACCCTGTGGGATTGCCATGGGAAGTTCCCAATGCCACATCTGGCCCCTCACTGGCTGAAAAAGTTCCTCACGCATTTCACGGATGGCTTCCAGCACTTTACTATTCCAGGGAAATATCAGATATATTTATTTTATTTGAACTTAAGAGTATTGCTGTAAAGGCAGATTATATCAGCCCCACATAAAAGATAAAGAATTGAAGTCCCAAAAGGCAATATCCTTTAAGTTGCATACTTACTTGGTAGTACAGCTACATACATACTACCAGGACCCTAGACTGAGCCCTGATGACCCTGATGACATTCCTAAGGGGGGCACCCTAGGTCCCCTGTACCTCTCAAAACTAACATGCTTCTAGGGGAAAGAAAATATGAATTCTGATAATCCTAAATGCTTTCTTAAACAAAGGCAAGGCAGATGGACTCTAGGACTCATGTTGTCTGGGATGGGCACTATAACCTCTCTATAAATCACACCACGGGATGACCTTTTATACCCTAAGATGGCATTCATGCCATACCATGACCTGTGGGTATGTGAGAAGTGTCAGGGTTGGGGGAATGATAATCCACATAGAAGGGGCAACAAAATATTTGAGATCACTTTCAGAGCAAAGAAAACACAATTTCCCCAAACCTTGTGATTTATTCAACTGGGTAAACTGAGGATCACTATCCTCCCTCCATTATTTTGAGAGCATCGTGTCAGACCTTTCACACTAACCGTCTGCCCAGTGAATGATGACTCATCTAAAGCTTCTTACTCATTGGTTCTTTCCTCAGAGTCTGTCCAATCCCAGGGTTGGAGGAGACTACTTTGCTCCGTGGTCTGTGATATTTCACACAGGATCTTCATTTAGTGAGTCCCTGATTCCCTGACTGCTACTTTCTCTCACCAGCCTCTTCCAGCTCTATGATGGTCCTGCAGGCCCCTGATGCCCCCTGGACAACAGCTCTGATGGTGTTACTGATGGTGCTGAGCCACCCCATGGTCCAGGGCAGGGCCACTCCAGGTAAGAGCAAAGTGGCTATTCCTGGAGGGCCTGGCTCAGGGAACCATTCCCAAGGGCATTTCCCTTCAGGGGACCAGACTTTGAGAAAGGCCATGGAGGTTCCCGCCACATCCTATGTCCTTCCTTCCCAGCTAGCGAATCAGGCTAACCTCCCCATTGCTATCCAGCCAAACTGTTCTCTCTCCAGGGACTCAGGCACAGTGAACAGGGGAGCAATGCCAAAGGAGAAGTATGTTGTAGAAAATGGGCCAGGGGGGCTGGAATAACTTAGGAGGGACAAGGTTTCCAGAGAGCATTCAGCAGGATCAGCTTCCTGTGTATTCTCATATTGCATCATAACCTTTAGGGGACTCGGATCACCCTGCCAATTCAGTGCTTAAGGAGAGTGCCTTACTGTCCCTAGGGTGGGGCAAAAACCCAGAGACCATTGGAAGGTGATGGTGAGATTAAGAGAAAGGGAATGGGTTCTACCCCCAGAGCATTCTTGTTGAAGGTAATAAATGCAAACTTTCAAGAGCTTGATTAGAGCACAAGAGTGAATTAAGATTTGTGGGAAGAATGAAATGAGGATGTGTAGGTGTGTAAGAAAGGATTACTGCAGAATACCCGACAGCCAAGGAAGGAGCAACTAATGGAAAGACCTCTTCCTCACACTGCCTCCCTCTGCCTAGTGTAGTATTATGGCTCTGTGATCCCATTTTCTCAGGATGCTTCCAAAGTCTATAGTCCACCATAGGAGGGAGGGCTATGAAGGAGCTATCTTAGTTTTCCACTAATTTCCACATTTCCTTTACAGGAGCCTTCTCTTAGAATCTTTCTAAGATATATTGTCCTTATTTCTAGGGGTAACCATATTTGAATACCCTGAGCCCAGCCCCTTTAGTCCCAGGAACTCTCTCCTATTACATCATGTCCACTTGCTGAGAAGGGAGGCAGAACTTGCTCTTGTTAGTCACTTGTTAGTGTGAGTACCCACTGGAAGGACAGCTCTGCTGTGGAAAACTTACCTTCAAAATCCTGCCTTTAGAAACAATGGAGTTCACCTTCATAGATCTCTGGTGATTGTGGTGCTTTTCAATGATTAATGTACCTTTCACACCTTTTGAAATCAGGTCTTTCCATAGCCATGTTTGAAAGGTAAACAGATAACATTGACTTCCAGGAGAGGAAGGCTTTCTTATAATATTTAAGAAAGTTTTAGGGAAATTATTTATACATTTCCCGCCTGCAAAGCCAGAGTAGATTAAGATACATAGAAGATAGTGGCACAGAGGAAAGAGCACTTGGTTATGGAAGAGAAGGAAATAAGGGAAGATTTCGTGGAACAGGTCACATTTGAGTCAAGTTGTCTCCAGGATGGCAATGTCAGGCAGGAGGCACCAACAGGGAGAGCAGCACCACTCTCCATTCCCCAGCTCCTTCTGCCCCTGCAGTTTCTCTTCCTGAAGGACTTTCTGTCCTAGTGAGGTTCTGCTCCTTCCTGTGACCTCAGGTGAACTACTACTACTCCTGCCCCATCTGCTGCAGAATGGATGAGCTTCTCAGTATGCCCGCACCTCTCCAAAGACCACTAAGTCACCCCTCTAGCAGTGAGTCACAGTTTATTCAGTGAACCCTCTGGTCACGGACAGGAAAACACCGAGGCCTGGGTGACCCGCTTAAGACCTCAGAACTGTCTGTTAGAAAAAAAAAATAGTATTTTAAGATTCAACGCTGGGTGGGAAGAAGAGTTACCACCTTGTACATTAGCGGCAATCTTGAAGATAAGTGAGGGGGCTCAGGAACACGGAGCGCCGGGGTCTTCCAGCAACACTGGGCCCTGCGGGCTGGCGTCAGCGCTGACCGAAGCCGAGGGGCGAGCGGGCGGGTGCTGTGCTCGGCCCGAGAGACTGAGGAGGTTTTGGGGGAGGGAGTCGTGAGGTGGCCGAGGTCGCATCCCCAGAGAGTCGCGGCCGGGCTCAGCGCCGTCCTGCTCCCCGCAGAGAATTATCTGCACCAGATACGGCAGGACTGCTACGCCTTCAACGGGACGCAGCGCTTCGTGGAGAGATACATCTACAACCTGGAGGAGCTCGTGCGCTTCGACAGCGACGTGGGGGAGTACCGCGCAGTGAGCGAGCTGGGGCGGCAGCAAGCCGAGTACTTCAACAGCCAGAAGGACGTCCTGGAGCAGAAGCGGGCCGTGGTGGACACCGGATGCAGACAGAACTACGAGCTGGACGAGGGCTTCACCCTGAAGCGCCGAGGTGAGGCCGCGGGCGGGGCTCGCGGTTGCCGCTGGGCTTCGAGCCCCGTGGGGATGCGGGGCGGGGAGGGGCCCAGTGAAGGGGTTTGGGTGCTGGGGATCATGCGGGTGAGTCAGCCTTCTCGTGGAGCCAGGGCAAGGACGTGAACTGTGCTGAACATGAAAAGAGGGAGGGCTGGGTGGAGAGAGAAACACACCATCAGGGCTTATCAGGCCTGCCCACTGACTGTGGGGCAGTGAGGAGGCAGAGATGCTGCCCTCCAAGCGCTGCAGGCCACGCAAAGAAGAAACTCCCTTGGGGGAGATGGTTGGGTTGGACAGCTTGAGGGGTTTGGGCAGATCTCTCATGGGCGGGTATAGTAGGGATTCGAAGCTGGGGAGGAGCGTCTGGGCTGGGCAAAATTATCTGAGGAGGAAGGCGGATCCAGGAAAGAGAGCAAAGGGCTGATTCCTAGGTCCGTGGACAATTATGATGTTGGCTAAGAGAAATATCTGGGAGGACCAGAAAGTAAAGGGTGAGTATTATAAGAATTGGGCAGAGAAGGGTCACAGACGCTGAAGTAGCGAGGGAGATGGGAACTGAACAGTTGTACCAATGACTTCAGAAGATAAGTAAATAGAAGTTGAAAGGTGGGCTTGGAAACCAGAGAGAACAGGTTGTCTGCAGAGTAGGACCAGGAGCTGGACCACATGGGCTGAGAATTAAGGGTGAGGACCCAGGCTGAGCATAAACCATAAATTCTTTGAGGAGGAGATGGCATTTTGTCTTGGACTCTTATTGGTTCAGGGAGCCTGAGTGTGAAGAGGGGGAAGAGAGGTGAGGTTTGTGCAGAGCCTCAGGACCTTTCAAGGATGAGAGAAGAGAGCGTGAGCTTCCTCTTACCATCAGCTTGTGGATTGGGGGACTCCTATGCACCAACCTGAGAAGACCTGAGGGATGAAGAGATGAGCCTTCCACAAAACTAGGGATCCTTCTCACAGAGAAAGGGGAAGGATGATAGGTAGAAGAAGGCAGGAGCTGTGGGAGGGCTCACCTTTGATCCCTCTTCTTTTGGAAAGTGGAAGGAATCAGAATGTGGACAAATTGGATAAGAATTAAGAGAATGACATGAGTTTAGGATAGTTACCAAAGTAATTAGTGAGAAAATCCAAAGAGAAGAAATAGGACTGGCAACAACTGTAGGGTCTAATACAAATTTGTAGGACATAAATCTAAATAATCCATTGCCAGATTGCCCTGGTGTCAGCCTGAGTAATTTGGGTTAATCACTTAGGCCAGTGGGTCCCAAACTAGTTCTGCTAAGTAGAACCTCCTAGAGATCTTTTTAAAACACACATGCCCCCAGAGACACTGCCCAGAGATTCACGTTTAGTAGGTGGTGAAGTCAAGAAATCTGTATTTTTAGTTTCCCAGTGATTCCCATGTAACCAGGTAACTGTTGCCAGATCCTGAGGAGTTTTCTTTTTAAATAGTAAATGACAAGGTCGTAATTTTGGGTTCAGAGAGTGTTAAATGGGAATGACTGCAATCAGAGCTGGAGTAAGAAAATGTTATTATTGTCTAGGGAATAGTAATCAGGGCATGAATTATAAGGGGGAAGAAAATAGAGGAAGGGGAGAAAGAGCTGCAGAATTTCCTAACATAATTCTAGAAGCAAATAAGCGGACAGTCTTCCACTTACCTGGAAGTCTTTGCCTTTGTGAAATGTATTTTGAACTGGTTGAGAAACGGAAGCGCTGGACCTGTAGACTTAGCTTCATCTTCTCCTAGAAATCAATTTTATACTTCAGTCAAAGTTCTTGTGGAATGTTCTGGGCCTCAAAGTAAATTTCGGTGTAGAGCTTGCTTTCATGAGGTCCAGAGAAATTTAATTATTTCACAAACTGTGACTCAGACAGGAATTGAAGTGTCTGATGAACTGTGAGTTTATAAAGATGGTTGAAGTAAAATGGTGTTCCTACAAGTGCCACGAGTATAAAAAGGCTGGCAGTATGGACTACTCTGTGTACAAAACCAAGTTGCTATAGGAAACAACATTATAGGTAAATTGCAAAAATATGCCTGTCTCATCTCAAGGTATTTGTTTGCTCTGGGAAGTAGAAATTAGAGAAAAAAGAACTAACTTTTTAAATACCTGAAAGGTCTTAGGTGGGAAATTCTTCTTAATAGGTTTTCTCCAGAGGCAGCTGGATCTTTTCTGGCCTAAGGTGGGGAGGAAGATAATGGTGACAGATGTCCAGAAGTAGTAACTATAAAACAAAGGAGGGTCTATTGGTTGGGGAATGTATTTTTATTAGCCTCTTGTC